AAGAAAGTAGTGCAGTTTGAACTTTCTGGTCATCAGCAGAGCAGGGATTCTGCACAGACACAGGACTCTTCCAGGAAGGCCAGATAGCATAGGCCAGTATTTCCCAAACTTTTGACATATGTGTACCCTTCTATAATTTTTGTAAAGCTGAGTACCCCTCGTACTCATGAGAACGTAGAATAAGACGCAGCTAAACACGGTGCAGTGCATATCCCCACCAAACTCCGGTGCAACGCGTACCCCCACCAAACTCTTCCCGTACCCCTGAGGGTACCCGTACCACACTTTGGGAAACACTGGCATAGGCAATGCTCTTTGGTTTGAAGTGAAATAAAGCCTTCATGATTGGCCATCATTTAAAACATTAAGCCACATTTATTCTTCAAATGAAAATGGAGTAATGGATTATATTTACCTCCCTATTAAAACAGCCAAAACCTTGACAAATTTTATGAAAAGCACTTTTCAATTTTTGAACATTAGATAGTGGAAGAAAGTTTCCTGAGAGAGGAGAAACAATAATGTGAGCCTTGTGGTTGCCCCCAGATTACTGTGTATTGTAGGATCTATAATATATGTGGAAGTAAAAGCACAAATGACAGGAGAGGGGGAATAAAAGCACACAATTTTAAAGTTCTTATTCTATACATTGATATCACTTGAAGGTAGATTCTGAAATGTTAAAAATGTATTAAAAACCTCACCCATGAAAAATGTTGTAGCTAATAAAACCAACTTAAGAGATAAAATGAAATCTTTAGTGTTCTCAGTAAAAAATGTTAGAGGAACAAGAGAACAAAGAACATATGGGACAAATGGAAACAAATAACAAGGTGGTTGAGTTAAACACAAACATACCAATAATCACATTAATGTAAATGGTCTAAACACCTTGGTTATAAAGCAGAGATTATCAGATTGTATATAAAAAGAAGACACAAATACATTTGCCTGTATGAATCCTATTTTAAATTTAAAGATGCAAATAAATACAAGTACAAGAATGGAAAAAGATGGACAATCTTAACACCAAAATCAAAACAAAGCTTGAGTGACTATCAGAGCAAAGAATAATATCAGGGATAATATGGTCATAGAAAGTCATTGCATAATTTTAAGTGGTGAGTTTGTCAAGAGGACATAACAATCTTAAACATTCACATATTACAGTGCTTCAAAATAGATGCAGCAAAAACTGATAGAACTGTAAGGAGAAACAGACAAGTCAACAATTACAGTCAGAGATTTCAACGCCCTTTCTAAAAAAAATAGAACAAGTAGACAGAAAATCAGCAGGTATATATAAGTCTTGAACAACACTATGAACCAACTTAGCTAGTTGACAATTGTAAAACTTGCCACCAATGACAGTAGAATGAACATGTGTTTCACATATATATGGAACATTTACCAAGACAGCCTATATTCAAAGTCATAAAATAAGTCTCAATAATGTTTACAGAATTCAAATAATAAAATGTATGTTCTCTGAGCACAGTGAATTTAAATGAGAAACTAATAACAGAAATATCTCTGGAATATACCCAGTATTTAAATTTAACTTCAACTAACACATGAATAAATAACTCAAAGAAGTCAAAAGGGAAATGTAAGGTACTTTGAACTGAGTGAAAATGAAAACGCAATATATGATAATTTGTGGGATGTGGCAAAAGAAGTACTCAAGGGGAAATTTATAGCACTAAACATATATATTAAAATAGAAGAAAGCCTATCCTATCTAATAAAGAGGGAGTATACTAAGTGACCATCTCACCCTCACAAAGATGATAGCACCCACAGCCAATAAGGAGGGAATATACTACTTGAGTGCCACGTCCTCAAAGATGGAGATGCCCACAGCCACAAGATGGCAGCACCCAGTCCCCTCAGCAGGCTGAGCCTGCCCCCAGGCGGGTCCAGCTGCTCCACTTGCCTGCCTCTGGAGTCCCCCAGTTCCCTCAGCTCCCCAGCCACCCAGGGCCAGCCCAGGGCACAGGCAAGTCTTGAATAGCAGCTGCCCAGCTGCCCAGGGCTGGCCTGAGAGGTGACCAAATGACTGAACAAGTAGGCTGTGTGGGGCAACCAGGCTGGCAGGGGGGTTAGTGAGGGATGACCAAGCGACTGAACAAGCAGGCTGCATGAGGTGACCAGGCTGGCGGAGAGGCCATGAGGGGCAACCAGGCCAGTGGAGGCGGCAGTTGGGGGCAATCAGGCTGGCAGAGAGCTGTTAGGGGTGATCAGGCTGGCAGCAGAAGTGGTTAGGGGCCATCAGGCAGGCATGCAGGTGAATGGTTAGGAGCCAGCGGTCTCGGATTGTGAGAGGGATCAGGCTTAAACCGAAAGTCCGACATCCCCAAAGGGTCCAAGATTGGAGAGGTATAGGCTGGGCTGAGGGAAAATCTCTGCCCCCCGCCCCCCCTGCAAATTTCACGCACTGGGATATATATATTAGAGGCCAAGTGAATGAATTCATGCACCAGTGGGGTCCCTTGGCCTGGTCTGTGGGATTGGGCTGAAACTGGCTCTCTGACATCCCCCAAGGGGTCCTGAATTGTGAGAGGGTGCAGGCCAGTCTGAGGGACCCCACCAATGCACGATCAGGGCTGGGGAGGGACTGAGGGAGGTTGGCCAGCCAGGGAGGGACCATGGGAGGACTCCAGGGTGTGTCCAGCCCATTTCACTCAGTCCCGATGGGCTGGATCCCAGCAGCAAGTTCACCTACTTGTCAGAGCATCTTCTCCCTGGTGGTCAGTGCACATCATAGCAAGCAGTTGAGCAGCCTTAGCATATTATTAGCATATAACGCTTTGATTGATTGAACGGCCAACTGGATGACAGAATACTTAGCATTTAGGCTTTTATTATATAGGATATAGATATAACAATTAAAAAAAAAAAGAATGCCTGAACCCAAGGAGTAAGTCCTCTCCCTTTAACATGGCTCAGCTATTTGTGTCTTCCACTTTCTATCTCATTCCCAAGTAGCATCTTCTCCTCCTCTCTGTCCTTTGTCTACCTCCTAGCTTCTGCTTATTCTTGATGTCAAGCTGCTCATGTATCATGGTTTCTCAAGTTCATAGGGTACAGACTTCCTCAGGTGCAAGCACCTGGTTTAGGTCAATCAGTATGGTCAGCATGTCAGAGTTCCTTAGACACCGGCCTAACCTAGCTAAGAGGGTGCCAGGGTGAATATGGACTAACAGGCAGCAACTTTACAGCATGACTGAGGTCTTTTTAGGTGCCCTGGAGGTGAAGATACTGAAGTTGAGAGATCCAGCAGACTGCATCTCCTAAGTCAGGTGGTAGGCAGGGTCAAGGAAGCTTCCATTTGGCAGGGTAGAGAGCAGGGGTCTAGAAGAGACCTGTTCTGGTTTTCAGTTGTCAGAACAGCATTCCCATCTCTGCTGGGGTTGAATTGCCTCTGTGGGAATTTGGGGGAGGGAGGGAAGGAGCCAAAGGCATTTACTCAGGTCATCATCTTGGTCACCTCTCTATGGATATTTTTGGAATGAGCAACTGTCAAGTGCCTGAATACAAAGGATGAGAGGCTTTGGAAGGAGAGAAGGGGTTGGGAAACAACATATCCCTTCCTTCTTGACAAGGCAGAGATCATCAGCTGCCTTTGCTCATAGAGTAATCTTTGAATAAAAATAGCCATCGGCCAAATTTTTGAGAGTAATATGTGTCAACCATTAGATTCCAGCAAGTCTACTTAGCACTTGGGCATTGTTTGGGAAAATTAAAACGTAACAGAACAAGCTATTTGTAAAAACTAAAAACATTTTGTATGTAGCCAATCAAATGTTCTATCGAGTAAAATTTAATGTTATGAACTTAACTTGGTCTCAGAATTTTGGAATCTTATTGGTTTTTCCCCTTCTTCAAATGAAAATACCTTTACTTAATTTTTAAAATAAGAGTAACCCATACTATGGACCTAGAGACTATTATGCTAAATGAAATAAGCCAGTCATAGAAAGACAATTATCACATGGTTTCACTTATATGTGGAATCTTAAGAACAAAATAAACTGACAAGGAAAACAGGGCCAGAGGCATGGATACATGGAACAGACTGACAGATCTCAGAGGGGAAGGAAGAGGGGATGACAGGAAGATAACAACCAAAGAAATATATGTATGTATGCATAGCCCATGGACACAGGCAATAGTGTGGTTAAGGCCTAGGAGGGGCAGAGGCAGGATGGAGGGGGGGCAAAGGGAAGAAAAATGGGAGACATCTGTAATAGAATAACAATAAAAGAAACATTTGGAAAAAAAGATTAAAAGAAATTACCATGCCACAAAAACCAAAAACCTTTTAAAAAGAGAGATACTGTGATATTACCTTCTTCAAGGCATTTTAAAGTGATTATAAACTTTGTGAAGCATTAAAAAAGAAACTGGAGAGTAAAGGATAAGATTATGTTTATTAGCATATTTTCCTTTCATGCACTTCAAGAATTTATTTAAGCAAGGAGCAAAGGTACCAGGATGTATCAGCTGTATCATATTCCTTTTACATAAATATCCTGTAATAGCAGAAGTTGATCCTCAATATCTGAGTTCCTTAAAAAATCAAAACCTTTTAAATTAAATAAAGAGCAACCCATGCTGAGGGTAGTACATTAAATAAAACTAAAAAATCTAAGAAAAGAAAATCTCTAGTATTTTAACTAGCTGCTTTCTTATCTGAGAATCCACTCTGTAGCTATTATGTGAAGGTCCAGAGGACAGGAGGAATGAGCATCCATCCATAGCTGCGTGAGAAATATATTACAGGCATAGATGCTCCAAGGTCAGTGAAGAGAAAGAAAAATTCTTCAGAGAAGATGCAGCCCTTCCTTGATGAAACAGAACACATACCTCAGGGAGAAGGGGCCGCAGTTGACCTCTGGGATTAAGAAAAGCTAAAATGAGTGACAGGGTCACAAGCCAGAGGAAAGGAGCGGGAGGGGCAGGGGGCAAGGGGAGAGGGTTAGTGAAGGAAGGGAGTGGGAGGGGAAGGGGGATAATGAAAGAAGAAAAGGCTGGCTCCTGACGCACTTTCTCCTGATGGGAGGGGAACAAGGGACCCGAGCCCACTGGTGACGTTTCCCTCACGTGATCAGGAGCCGATGTATACAGAAGTCTCTCTCTTCCAGGTACGTTCCTTATTTCCATGGAGAAAGATTTTTAGACTGAGGGTCAGCGGTGCCAACTGCCCCATAGCAGGTCGGTACAAGAGTGTGTGTCTGTCTGTGTGGGGGAGTAACCTTGAAGTAGGATTGGTGACGGATCGAGGCTAGACGCTAGAGGATCTAGTCTGCTTTACAGATGCAACCTCTTTCTCACCCCCATTCATTTTGGCGCAGAAAATTGAGTGAATGTTGTGAGAGAGATCTGGGTAGCATCTCTTATTTTTCTGGATAAGTGCAGGCTTAAGGGCAGCAAGAAATATGAGAAGGAGGCATCTCTCTGGGAAGGCTATAAATCCACTGCTGCCTGCTGACCCCTGAGGTGGGGGTGGCAGAGGGCAAATACCAGAGAGGGTCCATGACTCAATTCTCTCTGCCCCTCCCCTGATGCCTATGCACGAAATGGAGGATTTGGTGGGAGGAGATGGAGAGGGGACATGGGTTGAGGATGAGTATCAATTAGGATGTCCTAGGAGGCAGGCAATCTGATAGAGGGAGTGTGTGTGTGAGGGGGGAGGGGCGGGGGTTGCTGTTTGAAGAGGATGGCAAGGAAGTGGCCTGATCCCTGCTGGATGGCTGGAGGAGGGCAAATCCTGATATCTCTGGATTGGGGGGTGGGGGTGGGGCGGACCCCTGAAAAAGACTGTGCCCTCAGTATATCTTCCCCACCTTCCGCTCATTTTGGAGCCAAAAATTGTGTTGTGTGTGTGTATGTGGTGCGTGCGTGTGTGGTGCGTGCGTGCGTGCGTGCGTGTGTGTGTGTGTGTGTGTGTGCGCGCGCGCGCGCGCGCGCATGTATTTGTGTATGCGCGCGCACGTGCACGTGCACGTGGGATGGGGGTTTAGGTGGCCAGGTGCTGCCTATGAGGGTGATAGAGGTTCAATCTGTGGAGTCCAGCTCCCTGTTGTGGAGGAATAGCTTCTGAATTAGGGAGGGCTAAGAGGAGGTAGCATAGACCTAAATTTTTACTGAGTTTGTAAATAATTTGTCTCTTGCATTGTAGGAAAATGTCATCTTTCTGTGTATGTGGAAGAGGGGGGAGTGGCAGGAATGCTCTGGACATTTCTACCCTGCCCCTTAACTCTACCATCACCATTTTCAGAGAAGTGGGGGGCTTTGTGCTATCTGGACACCCTGGGGTAGGGAGCTTGGAAGGCAGAAACCTGAGCACAAGATGGTCTGCCTTCTGAACACCACTGTCCTGAACCTCACTGATTTTAGTGCAAGAAAAAGTGAGGTGGAACTTTGGGAGGAGGATTCAAAAATATAGAAACACTTTGGGAATAATTTTTATCTGTCTTTGCCCAGTGGTAGAAAAATGGAGGCTGTTATGGGGGTACAGTAGAGGGGGATCAGAGGCCCAAGGGAAAAGGGCACAGGTAACAGGAATTGGGAAAGCTTGAACAAGTATAGTCCAAAAAGAGTCAGTGTCCCTGTTACCAGTCATTCACTTCGCAATCCCTCCTTCACCATCTGTCTTCTGTCTCGCTACAGGTCTTCAGAGCTGTGATTGCAGAAGAAAAGGAAAGACTCGCAGGAGCAGTACAGGTCAGTGGGAAAGGCAGCCACCCCAAGACCCTTGGGAGGAGGAGTGATTTAAGTCTGAGCAGAAGTTGAGGAGGCCATCTCCTGCCACCTCTCTTCTAAGTTTTCCTACTGCAGGCTCAGAATCTATTGCCTCTGTCGGGACCTGAAGAACTTGGTGCTTTATGCTGGTGAGGATAGCAGGGGAGAACAAGGAAGTGAGAGATGGTTGTGTGGCATCTGTGAAGCCTCTTGAAAATATTTGAGTACCCCTGAAATCTGAGAACTGGTCATTGTTGTTGTGTCTGTAGATCTGTAAGTCTTACAATTACAGGGAAGGCAAAAAAGAAACCAGTCAGGATTCTTGCAGGTCATTGTAAGTTGGGGACTACCCAGTTAAAATTGTTATGGGAACACCTAAGGCCAGAGCAAAGTTTAGGGACACATTTGTTTTTGCACACTTCTCAGCACACTCCGCTTAAATACACGGAGAAGCACATATGGTAGTTGCTGTAAGGCTGGTTCATGCAAACATGTGTGGAGTGGGACGAAAAGGAGAAAAAAGTATGGGTGGGAGTGCACCTGAATGTTAGGATCCTGTGAGGAAACCCCTGCGTCATAAAGGTAAGTATCAGGACCTTCATTCCACCACCTAAGTCCTCAGTCTCCTTTGTCTCCTCTTTGCCTCCTAGGCAAAGGAGGGAACATCTCAACATGAAAAAACTCTATAATGAAAATGAAGGAAAGCGAGGGAAAGCCAGAAGATAAAATAGATACAGAGGATGAAGGAAAGTCAGACAGGAAGGAAAAAGCCAGAAGTGGAGAAGAAGCCAGAGCACGAGGGAAAGCTCCAAGATCAAGGACAGCCAGATGCTGAGGGGAAACAAGAAAAGCAGAGCAAGTCCCAAGGTGAGGGAAAAGTTCGCATTGAGGGCAAGCCAGAACCCCAAGCCAAACCAGCTGCAAGCTGCTGGAAAATGCCCGGCTGAAGAGTATGTGCCCTAGAAAGGAAAGCGAAAAACAGACAGGTGGATGGATGATTCCCTCAAGGACTATCAGGAGGACTTACGGAAAAGGCATGTGGGCATTGAGGAGAGGATGAGAGAATATGGAAATGTAGCAAGGCTTCGGGAAGAGCTCAGGAAAAGGCAGAAAACAGGTAGTTTTCACTGGATGCAAAGAGATGTACAGGATCCATTCTTCCCAAGGGGCCAACAGGGTGTCAGGGGAGTGAAGGGTGGAGGTAGGGGCCACAGAGACCTTGAAGACAGTCCATACATTTAATGCCTTTGCCTTTAAATCAATTTCTCTGATGGGAATATTGCCAACCCTGCTTTCCCTGGCAAGCATTTGCCAGGCGATGTGCTTTACCTTCATGCTGATACTTTACTTTAGGCATCACCCTTGTTACCAGCAGCCTTTTGATCCAACTGCACAGTGCTCTCTGTTTTAGTAGGGGATTTTCACCCATGTGCATGGCATATATGTTCCTGGTACATTGTAAAAATAATAAATAGTTTTCAGAACTGCATATACTGTATCAGCCAGTTTTTTTTGGGGAAAAAGTTACATGATACATCCATGTGTATGAAAACTTATGGAACAGTAGACCAAAGGAGGAATAATGATTTTCTCTGTGTGGTGACAGTGGAGGAGCTTATGCTTTCTCATTTGCACATTTCCCCCTAAAAACATATTACTTTGTCATAAAATAAAAAATAATAAAAAATAAAATGTTTTTTGCCGAAGCTGGTTTGGTTCAGCGGTAGAGCATCGGTCTGCGGACTGAAAGGTCCCAGGTTCGATTCCGGTCAAGGGCATGTACCTTGGTTGTGGGCACATCCCCGGTAGGGGGTGTGCAAGAGGCATCTGGTCAATGTTTCTCTCTCATCGACGTTTCTAGCTCTCTATCTCTCTCCCTTCTTCTCTGTAAAAAAAATCAATAAAATATATTTTTTATTTTTTTATTTTTTAAAATATATTTTTATTGATTTTTAAGAGAGAAAGGGAGAGAGATATAGAGCTAGAAACGTTGATGAGAGAGAAACATCGACCAGCTGCCTCTTGCACACCCCCTACCGGAGATGTGCCCACAACCAAGATACAAGCCCTTGACCAGAATCGAACCTGGGACCTTTCAATCCGCAGACCGATGCTCTACCACTGAGCCAAACTGGCTTCGGCAATAAAATATATTTTTTTTAAAAAAATAAATAAAAATAAAACATTTTTTAAAAGTAGAAAAACAAACTGAGTGCCCAGATTATTATGATCTCTGAATGCATAATAATCTGGCCACTCAGTATATATCCTATATAATAAAAGGCTTATATGCAAATTGTCCCCTCAACCAGGAGTTAGACCAGCAGGCAGGCCAGCCAACCGCCCATGTCCCCTCCCCCTGGCCAGGCTGGCCGGACCCCACCCATGCACAAATTTATGCACCGAGCCTCTAAAATGTGTGTGTGTACACACACACACACACACACACACACAGTCACTGACTGGCCAGATTATTATGAGTTCAGAGATCGTAATAATCTGGCCACTCAGTGTATATACCAAGCAATCAAAATAACTGTTCAGTGAGTTTATGAAGTTAGTGGAGACACTTCGAATTCCTGTCGTCACATTATCTCTGGGACTCAAAGATGGAGTTATGGATCCAACCAGGCAGTTATGGATCCATTGTGTTGTCATCTGTGAAATGGGAATAAAAATTGCCTTCAGGCCTGTGGAAATCAGATGAGATACTGAGTGTATGAGCTGTGTTGGGCTGGCTCCTACCTCAACCTGCACTAGCAAGGCCAGAACCCTGTCAGATGCTTGGAGTATGGTGAGGAAGTTCTCAATTTTGCCTGAGAATAAGTCTAGACAGCTGAGAGGTAGGTGCCACTCTCTCTTGGAACATACCATATCTGTTGGGCACTCTGCCTCTTCTCATGGGCCCTGCATCCTCCTAAGGGCCCCCTAAGGCCTAAGGTAACAAAGCCCTTTTGATTTCCCTGGAGTCCCTGGTAAGTTGAATCCCCACTATATTCCCTACTGAGCTGTGAAGCAGCTACCTCTTCTCGTGTTATAACTGTATTAATCCTGACATGAAATGTGAAAAAAATACATTGTAAAATCTTTATTAATATATTTTAGGCATTATAATTGCCCCACTAGATTTGCACTTTTCAAAGCAAAGAAATCTTACTCATTTTGGTAGCCACAATACATAATGGAAGCTTAAAAATCAATACATTAATTATGGAGTTAAAAGGTCTCAATTCTTGGCCCAGTTCTTGGCCTGATTGAATACATAGCCTTAAGCATGTAATTTCATTCTTTAGTTACTTAAACTTGCTACTCCAAAAGGAGCATAGCAGGAGATCACATTGATTACAAGATACACTGATTTTTAACATTAGGTATAGAAGTGTTTCTGAACATTTTCTAGCTATTAGCAGATTACCTGCACCCAAATCTCCTATCTTGAAAATGCAGAATCCTGGCTCCCACCTCAGATCCAATGCACCAGGATCTCTTTTGACCTGTCCTCACAATGTCTCTGTGTGTACAGGTACAGTAAAAAGGAAAAGAAAAAAATTTTTTTCTGGGTGATGGGAACTCTTAGGATTTTTTCTTTTAACATTATTTGTGCTTTTAGCTCATTTTACTTTTTACCAAATTGATATATGTACAAAATTTTAAAATCCAATAGTGCAAAAGAATTTATTAAAAACTCTAGTCTGAAAAAAAATAAACACACAAAAAACTCTAGTCTGCCTTGCCATTCCACATTCTCACTCTCCAGAGACAACTACCATAATGTTTTGGACTACTTATATTTGCCTCTGTATTTCTGAATCATATGATTAGGCTGCTGTTTCCTTTTTATTTATTTATTTTAAATCAATCTTTATTGTTAATATTATTACAAAGGTTCCTCATTTCTTCCCCCAGCCATCAGGTTCCCACTTCACCCTCTGACCTTTCCCCAACCCCCATTGTCCTCATCCATAGGTGCACAGTCTATGTTCAGTCTCTTCCCGCATCCACAACTCCCCTTTTCCCCGAGAATTGTTAGTCCACTCCCCTCCCGTTTCTCTGATTCTATTATAATCAACAGTTGATATTGTTCATCAGGTTAATTTCCTTGTTTTTTTAATTAATAAACTTTTATATTTTTAAGAATAAATTTTAAAATCTAATAATTTTAAACCTTGTTTTTTCTGCCCTGGGAACTGAGAAGCAAACTTGTTTACATATAAACTTGCCCTCAGGCTATCAAAAGGCATAGCCATTCAAATGTAAATGAACACATTGTTTTAAGATAGCTGCTGGCTGGAACTGGATTACCTGTTCTGGGTGGGAAGGGCTTGTCCTCTCCTTTCTCCATTAAAATTAAGGTGTTAGCTTTAAAACCTCTTTTTGGCAAGAGACCTTAAACTTTCAGAACTTCAAATTTTTCAGGTAGTAAATCAATTACTTAGTATTTTCTCAAATCAATAATACCTCCACATGCCCAAGGATACACTTCACAAAAAAGACACTTCCAAATACATCAACCAACCTCATCCAGACCCCACACAAGGCACTCACAGATCAACACCCCAGCGTTATAATAACTCAACACATCCAGATCTAAGCCTTCATCACTTGATTCAGCAGACCCTCAAGTTCCCCCAAAAGTTTCCAGCCATGTCTGAGAAGCAGCCCTGGGGCATGGGCAGGTGAAGAGCGAGCTGTTCCGGGCCTGGCTGCTTTGGGCCTGGCCTCTGCTGCTCTGTTCTGCTCCACAATCAGCTGCTCCGGGTCTGGCCACTGCCGCTGCTCCGGGCCTGGATGTTGCTGCTCCGGGTCTGGAAGCTCACGACCCCGCTGCTCTGGGCCTGGCTGCTCCCGACCCAGCTGCTCTGGGCCCGGCTTCTCTGGGCCCAGCGGATCCGGGCCCGGCCACTCTGGGCCTGGCCGCTCCCGGCCTGGCTGCTCCGGGCTTGGCTGCTGCTGCTCCGGGCCCGGCCGCTCCCTGCCTGACTGCTCCCTGCCTGGCTGCTCCGGGCTTAGCTGCTGCTCCGGGCCTGGCTGCTCCCGACCCAGCTGCTCTGGGCCTGGCTGCTCTGGGCCCGGCAGCTCCAGGCCTGCCCGCTCCTGGCCTGGCTGCTCCAGGTTTGGCTTCTGCTTCTCTGGGTCTGGCTGCTCCTGACCCAGCTGCTCCGGGCCCGGCCGCTCCGGGCCCGGCCGCTCCGGGCCTGGCCGCTCCAGGCCGGCTGCTGCTGCTTGGGGCCTGGATGTTCCCGACCCAGCCGCTCCAGGCCTGGCCACTCGCAGCCTGGCTGCTCCTGGCTTGGCTGCTGCTGCCCCAGGCCTGGCTGCCACTGCCCTGGGTCTGGCCACTCTGGGCCTTGCCGTCGCTGCTCTAACATTCTGTCTTTTTTTTTTTTTTAATGCATTTATGTTGCAATGTTGGCTGCTGAGTTGAGTTCTGTCTTAGTCTTTGATTTTTTCAGATCTTCTTTGTATTCTTTCTTAAGTAATTTTACTATCTTTTGCTATAACTTGATTTCTTCACATTGAAAACTTCTTCGGTTTCTTCCTCCTCGTCTTGGAAGCTCAGCAGGCTGGCCTGTGGCGCCCCTTTGTGCTCCGCGGCCTTCTGCGCAGCTTCAGCCTGTTGCCGGGGTCGGCGCCGCCCAGGAAGCAGCCCCCGGCCTCGGCTCTGTGGCCCGTGACCAGTGGCACCTCCCCCCCAGGGGCCCTGTCACCTGGCTCCTTGCTGGCGCCCAGCTTGCTGGTGCCAGCAGCAGCTCCCGCTCCTCATCACGTTCTTCCCAGACTGGAGCTTTTGTCTCCTTCCCGCTAGGGCAGTCTAGCATCAGGGTCAACAGACTGTCCTCTGCGCGCAATGTGCCCGACTCTGGGGGCTCTGCCTTTCGCCACTCCCCTGGGATTCCGCCTCTCAGCCCCGTCTCCCTCTGTTTGAGCCTGGGTCCCCAGGGTCTGGCCTAGAACTGGGGTTCAGAACAGTCTGAACTGGGGCTCAGCACAGCTGGAGCTTTTCCTTCCTGTTAGGGCAATCCAGCATCAGAGTCAACATTCCGTCCTCTGCACGCAATGTGCGTGACTCTGGGGTCTCCGCCTCTCACCGCTCCCCTGGGATTCCACCTACAGCCCCGTCTCCCCCTGCCTGAGCCTGGGTCCCCAGGGTCTGGCCCAGAACTGGGGCTCAGCGCTGCAGGTTCTGGGGTTCGGCCCAGTCCGGGGCTTTTATTTCCTTCCTGCTAGGGAACGCCAGCAAGGAACTCAGCCTCCCCCTCCTCTCTGGCTCCGTCCTCTCTGTGCGCGAGCAGCATGTCTCCGTACCTTAGGCTTTTACAGCTCCTCTGATTTTCCTTCTGGTTTTCTCTTTCCTTCTTGTTGTAGAATTTTCAGTCAGTCGACTACCTATAGCTCTGGGCAATGTCCATTTTATATTTTAGTTGTATTTTATTGAAATTGTTGTGTGCGGCTGCGGTTAGGTGTTTACCTGAGCAGCCATCTTGGATC